ATCGTGCCAGGATAGAAGCTTAGTTACAGAACGTAACCGAATTCGCGCGAAGTTACAACCAAAGTGGGTGTATATGAATGGAAGCACAAAATAGCTGTCATTAGCACAGTCAAACAAAAGCACAATAAAACAAACACTGGTACAGTTGGTTATAATAATAATTGTTTTTATTAAACCAGTCGTGTTCTCGTGATAAATGTGAGTCACTACAAGTCCATTAATCTTTCTCCTTTTCATCAATGACACGTGCTCACTCTTTGAACATGGTAAATCTTTCCTTTCTGATCTAAAAGAAGTTTATTGATTCTTGTTTCTTACCAAAGAAAACTATATTTCAACGGTAATTCTAGAGAACATAAACAAGTTATACGAATGGATTGTGTCGTGGAAGAAGGCCTCTGGTGAAGCAAAGTGGCCGGAATCAACTAGATGCTGCAAGATTGAGCTTTTGTATATATATATGACTGTGTATACGTATTTGGTACGTAGTATGCACATAAATAATAAAGTTCCATGATACTAAACAGGTTTCTAGTCCTTCATATCGATACATATGTAAAGTGGCAAAGAGAATACCAGTTATATGAAGATATGATAATCGTGAAGGTAGATGTTGATAGGCAGCTGATTACGTAAAGTAACAGTCTGAGCAGAGGATTTATTTCATATATATTAATCTTTTCAGAAGGTATCTCCAAATGTTTCTCAAAATCCCTGGAGCTAAATACAACCCGTATTAGTCTTGGTCTATTATTGTGCTTGAAAAAACACAGATGCTCTTTCTTAAGCTAGTTAAATAAGTACCTAAATTATTATTACTAATACTTTTGTGGCATTGTTTACAGGATGTCAAACATTTAACTAATTCAGTTAATTTGTGAGTTAGCGTTAAAGATAATGATCACACAAATAGGAGTATAAAAAATTAAAATTAAAACATTTAAAAGTGATAATTAGAAAATGACAATTAGTTGTAATAAGAGCAATTAAGATAATACAAAATGATAAACAATTATCTCAACATTCAAAGTAGAACAAACATTAGATTATTATGTAAAATGTAAAATGGATATATACAAATAATTAGGTAAATTGTAAGTACAAAAATAGTGAAGAATAAAAGGTATGAAGATCCAAATGAATTTGTAAACTGTTAAGTTTATTTTTCAAGTTTACTATCGATGTAAAAGAAATATAATTACTGACAACTTTTAAATACAATAACTAAGGTTATTCTATTTGTGACATGAAGTGTATTATATGTCCACAAGACGAGTTCAAATTGTTTTAGTAAACAATGATAAAATACCATGAATAACATTAAGTGTTTTAATTCAATCAGTTACTATGTTTCATTAAAACAACTGTTAGTTAATTATGAAAAGTTCCTTTACTTTGTGTAAAATAATAGTGATGTAACTTACTCACTTACTTACGCCTGTTACTCCTAATGTAGCATAGACCACCGACCAGCATTCTCCAACACACTCTGTCCTGGGCCTTCTTTTCTAATTCAATCCAATTCTTGTTCATTTTTCTCATATCTATCTCCATTTCCCGACGTAATGTGTTCTTTGGTCTTCCTCTTCTCCTTTGGCCTTCAGGATTCCATGTGAGGGCTTGTCTTGTGGCTCAGTTGGGTGCTTTCTTCAATGTGTGTCCTATCCACTTCCAGCGCTTTTTCCTAATTTCTTCCTCCACTGGGATCTGGTTTGTTCTCTCCCACAGTACGTTGTTGCTAATAGTGTCCGGCCAATGGATCTGAAGTATTTTGCGTAGACAACTGTTAATAAACACATGTATTTTCTGGATGATGACTTTCGTAGTTCTCTAGGTTTCTGCCCCATACAGTAGAACGGTCTTGACATTTGTATTGAAAATCCTGACCTTGGTGTTGGTTGACAGTTGCTTTGAGTTCCAGATGTTCTTCAGTTGTGAATATGCTGTTCTTGCTTTACCGATCCTCGCTTTCACATCTGCATCAAATCCACCATTTTCATCAATGATGCTGCCCAAATATGTAAAGGATCTTACATCTTCCAAATCTTCTCCGTCAATTGCGACTGGATTGGTGCATTCTGTGTTAAATAGGAGAATCGTGCTTTTCCATTTGTGTATATTGAGACCTACTGTTGCTGAGGCTGCTGAAACACTGGTCGTTTTCTCCTACATTTCTTGTTGCGATTGCGATAGGAGGGCCAGATCATCTGCGAAGTCCAGATCGTCCAACTGCATCCTAGATGTCCATTGTATCTCGTGCTTCCCTTCAGACGTTGACGTCTTCATGATCCAGTCGATCAGCAGGAGAAAGAGAAAGGGTGAGAGTAAGCAACCTTGCCTAACACCGGTCTTCACTTCGAACGACTTTATCAACTGTCCTCCATGCACAATTTTGCAGTGTAATCCATCACATGAGTTCTGTATGATATTGAATATCTTCTGAGGCACGCCGTAGTGTCGAAGAAGTTTCCATAATGTTGTTCCGTCCACGCTATCAAATACCTTTTCGTATTCAATGAAGTTGATGTAGAGTGATGAATTCCATTCAATTGACTGTTCCACAATGATCCGTAGATTTGCGATTTGGTCTGTACACGATCTATCCTTACGGAATCCAGCCTGTTGGTCACGAAGTTGGGCGTCTACGCAGTCCTTCATTCTGTTTAACGATACCCTGTTGAAGACTTTTCCCGGTATTGGTTGGTGTGCCAACATTGATTGGGAGGTCCATGGGTGCTGGTTCGATGTTGGGTGGGTTCAGTGGAGCTGATCGATTCAAGAGTTCTTTGAAGTGTTCTACCCACCTGTTTTGTTGCTCTTCAATGTTGGTGATTACTTCGCCTTCCTTGCTTTTCACTGGTCGTTCTGGTTTGCGGCGATTTCCAGAGAGTTTCTTTGTCGTGTTATACAATTGTCTCATGTTTCCTTCTCTTGCAGCCTTTACCGCCGTCGTTGCTAAATCTTCCACATATTTACGTTTGTCGGTTCTAATGCTCCTCTTCACTTGTTTGTTTACTTCTGTGTATTCAGCTTGTGCCTTGGCTTTTTCTGCTCTTGTTCGACTGGTTTTGATTGCTACCTTCTTGTTCCTCCTTTCTTGAATCTTATCCAGTGTATCAACAGTGATCCATTCCTTGTGATGGTGCTTCTTGTGACCCAGGATCTCATAATATGTTGAAGCGATTGCCTCTTTGATCCCCTTCCAGTTGCTCTCCACAGTAGTTCCTTCTCCATTGAATAGATCATGAAAGACCTGGAACGTGTTGCTGAGGACTATCTTGAATTTGTTGAGTTTGTCAGTATCTCGAAGAAAGCCCGTATTGAACTTTTGTGATATTGTCCGCCTCATTTTCCAGTGCTTCTTGAGACCAGCAAGTGATGATCTGATGCTATATCAGCTCCGCTCTTCGTTTGCACGTTCTCTATGGTCCTCCTGAACGTTTTGTTGATGCAGATATGGTCGATTTGGTTTTGTGTAGTGTGATCCGGTGAAGTCCATGTGGTTTTGTGTGTGCGTTTATGTGGGAATATGTTGCCGCCTATGACCAGCTTATTAAAGGCACATAGATTTGCGAATCTCTCACCGTTTTCGTTTCTTTCTCCCAGTTCGTGTCGTCCGATGATGTCTTCATATCCGGTGTTGTCCGTTCCAACCTTGGCATTGAAATCTCCCATCAGAATGGTTAGGTCCATTGTTGGGCACTTCTCGGCAATTGACTGCAGCCTATTGTAGAATTGATCTTTAGCGTCTTTATTGTAATCGTTGGTAGGCGCATAGCATTGGATGACGTTCATTGTAATGCCCTCTTTCTTTGTTTTGAAGGAGGCTTTGATGATCCTTGGTCCATGAGATTCCCATCCTATAAGTGCATTTCGTGCTTGTTTGGACAGCATCAGTGCAACTCCTTGTGTATGTGGGGCATTTTTTCATCATGGCCGGAGTATAACAGGAGTTCTCCTGAAGCTAGTCGTTGTTGTCCAACTTGTGTCCAATGTGTTTCACTGATCCCAGGCACCTCTAGGTTGTATCTCATAATTTCTGCAGCAATTCAGAAGACTCTCCCGGTCTCCCAAATTGTAAGAGTATTCCATTCACCTAAATAAATGGTTGCTCTGGTTGCCAGAAGGGGCACCAGCCTCGTGACTTCCGAAGGGACTCGGCTTTCATCATGAGGCGTCATGGTTCTTCTAAATGAAGACCTTCTGACTCCCAGGGAAGAGTTTAAATGGCTTGAATACTTTTTTTTGGTTAGTGTGACGACAGACCACCGGTGAACTCGAGGAAGCTGTAAGAGGCTCAGAAGGAGCCGAAGACGTCCCATCCAATCACCTTTCGGAAGAATGTTCTAGAATTCCAACGTGTAGCTTCCCCATTGGATAATGCTAATAACCCCCTGTACGCGGATTGGAAGACTGTAATGATGATTTCGTTCTCACTAAAAAATATAAATACCTGACAATTTTGTACTATGTTTGACACTGTTTGGAATAATATTCCTTTCGTTAGTCTTCTGTCTTCTTATTGCGACTTGGAAGGGTTTTGGTGTTCTAGTGCTCAGTTATTCGCGGTATATCGAAAAATCAAGATATAACAGTTAGCATTTTTTAGAGGGTTAGTTTTCTACGGGATGGAGTCGCTAACCCCATGCCCAACCCTCCTTCTTTATCTGGGCTTGGGACCGACAGTAGCCCCCGGAGGGACTCCAGGCGGAGTTAATAGTGACATAATCTAATAATAAAATAACAGTAATGTTCAGAATCTTCATTTCTTCTTAAGTTTGCTATGATGAACAATAAAATGCTTTACAGACCGATGTATTTACTGATCTGTTATGATATTATTAACTTGTTTAAACAAAGCAAATCAATAAATAAAATTATATAAGGAATTTGATACGTTAATGATTTTATTATGAAATTTCAGTCTTTCAAGAAGAATATAAAGACGAGTTTAATATAGATTATTAGTATTTGTTTGTGAGAAAGATCAGAAATTAACTATGGGATCTGCCCTTGGAATAATAATATTGATTTGCCTACTTAATGAATCAATAAAAGGTAAGTTATTATGTTTACATTACAGAAAAATACTTATTCAGTGCAATACAAATAGGTTTGAATTGATAATAAATATGACTATTTCGAAATCAAAAACACATTTAGATAATAAGTGTTTATTTTGAAATTTTCTAATCATAAGTAGCTAAATAACGCTTTTTCCTCATAAATTCACTTGGTATTTTTACTTGAATTTTCCATTTGATGTTTAGGACTGCGATTGACCAGTAAAAAAACCGCCACATTGCACAAGCAGGCGGCTATCCGAACTCAATAGTTAAGTGGATAACGCGATGGTGTTTGAAGCGAACGGTATCGGGTTCGAGTCCCAGAGCGAACATTAGCCCTGAGATGCAGGTACATCCAGCTGTTGAGTCCAAAATAAGACGAAACTCGTGTTCTGGATCCCACTGCTAGCCACTATCTATCTTTGATTATAATGCTTTTTCCTTATTCCTGTAATTATTAAGTTATTAAAAGATACGTATTTAATTGATCGCGTAACATTTGTGAACTGTTGATCTGGTTCACTGAAATTAATATTTTAGTGTAAGCAGTTTTTCGAACAGAAAATTGATTATTCTATTGTGCATGTAATACAATCGATCACAATCGTAAATAAAGTAAATAATACAATGCACAATCAAGTATAGTATTGAATTACATAGTTATCCATTAAAAATTGCATACACAATAGCATTTTAAAGTTGATGCATTTGTACATTCTGAGAATACCGGATAATGTAACTTGCTTCATAGGAGCATTCACACTAAAACACTTTAAACGAGGCGTCTAGTCTTGGTACTTAATCTTTCTGCCTCGACATTACAAAAGGAAGAGTGGAAATTGTTGTTTATAGCTTTACCGAATTACACGATGTTCAGCGTCGTGCATAATTTCTTAAATTGAAATTTCGCTGACTGGGTTTCTTTAAAAATACTAGAAGACAAGTGGCGAATCTATAATCAGTCTAAACGCCTCTTTTTTTTACTTCTGTGTAAAAGTTTTCCCATTAATCTTGTTTATTTTACAATTTTCATGCGATATTTAAAACCTGACGAATAACATGTCCGTCATCAAAATTTACTGAAAGAAGTAACTCAAATAAGTTTTACAGAACGATAAATAAGTTGTAGATTGAAAAAAATCAGTAGTGGGTTATAAAACGCGACAATTAAGATTACTAAGTGAATAAACTAATCAGCGACCTTATTTTTTCAGCGTCCGAAGTTCCGAGTAAGTGAAAAGCTATTTTAAACTTTTATTATTATTATTATTATTATTATTATTATTATTATTAGTATTAGTATTATTATTATTATTAATGTCTTCTTCGCTTCACGATAGTTTAAATTTTACATTCATTGTTTATAACTATGTTGAACAAAACGGTATTATAATCAACTTCAGGAAGAAGACAATTATAGCACATGAAAATTTGTTATGCACCGAAAGCGGGTCAAAACCATATCTGACTACCTTGAGCTTTAAATATTCAGTTATACTGATCAACAGTGAAGTTTAAATAAATTTAATTGATTAGTACTATACATCAATTATTTGACAAAATAAAGTAGAAACCCAGTCCATATAATAAAATTATACTTCTAAAGCCAACCAACGTAATTACTTTACAGAGTCACAAAATTACTCATTTCTAACGCCTTTCTCTCCTTAGTTGGTTAAATGTTGGTAGGTCTTTGTGAGGAGTCAACCGAGAAGTTAGTTGTCCCCCCTCATAACGATTAGGTTCTCTTTAGGTGGCTGTGTGGTTGACGCTCAGGTTACTGTTAGTTTTATATTTTTCCCTTGGATCTTCCGTTAATATTTCTCCTGTAAAGTCTCCAACCTTTAGTTATTGCTATTATACTTGCACTAGCGTCTTTCGACGTGACAAGTATATCTTGTCTGTATGAGTCGTCCACTTCCACTGTAGACATGACTGTGACTGCTCTGTTTTATTATTATTGACTTTATTCAATATTATATTTCGGTACAACATAGAATTCTCAGCACAGGGTATTTCAACAAGTTTCTTACACAGAAAACAGAAACAAAGACAAAAAAAGTTTAAAAAAATCTGAAAAACAGTACAACATTTAAAATTAAAGTCATGTTAAGAATGCAGGTTATTGGCTAGGTTAACTCTAACAACCTGTTCGTCACAGAGTATATTTGCTAGGTAAGGTATTATAGAACTTTTATACTTTTCCTTGCGTGCATGGATTTTAATGTAATTACGTCTCGTTCTACCAGAAGATATACAAGGAGAAAGATAAGAGTGAAGGGGATGGCTAGTATCTGATAAAATAACACCTGCCAGGAGTTTGCATGATTTTAAATGTTTATTCACAACCATATTAATTATGACCTCGAAAGATTCACCACACACCGTGCTAACTGCCTTCAGCACTCTTCGCAATACAGCAAAGTCTTTTCTCAAAAGCCCGGGAAAGAATAATGGAGAACAGTAAAGAATAATAGGTAATATGCAAGAATTGACAAATTGTAAGAGTAAATGACGAGTAATTTCAAGAGCATGTAATCTCTTTATGTAGTAGGTCAGACGGAAAATCTTCTTGGATAACGATAAAACGTGGGAAGACCAAGACAGATCAGAGGAAAAGGTGACACCAAGATAATTGACGTTTGACACTGAGTTTATCAAAGAGTCTCCGATGGTACAAGCACTATGGGATCTCAAAATGGTGTTTAGATTCCGTTCATGTCTCATGCTAAAGTTAACAGCTTGACATTTAGACGGATTAAGTATGAGACCATTACCAACAGACCAACAATCAATACGAGACAAAAACTCATTCATTTCTATGGGATGTAAAGAGGAAGAGATAGGCCGGAACTGTAGAAATCAAGCATTCATACTGCTTCGTTCTGGTGGAAACTTCTTGTTTTGATACAGTTGTTTAGTTATCCACAGTCGTTATTTATTTATTTATTCTATCTTGATACCCTGTAATGTAAAGTACTTCGGATTTTTTTCACGTAAATATATCTTTTCAGGTGATATCCTGTTCACTGTTACTTAAAAACTGCAAACTGACATTTACAAGAACAAGAGAGAATGCAAAATTGAGGGCGAATAAAGATTTTATTCATAGTCCAAACATTTTGTAACTCTTCTACATAAACTTGCTTGTACATAGATTCTTACGGTGATTTGATGATTAGTCATCAAGTGATTTTTCCCTGAATCAACATAAAAATCTACTGAATATTGTGGTGCATGAATAATACAGTAAACTGATGTAAAGAGACTGGCACACTGAATAGACGTCACAGTAAACTGAAAAGACTGTTATACTAAAGAATATATTACACAGAATTGAAACATGATCTAGCGCTTTTTCCTGTCCTAACATACTTCAGTTAACTCAAGCTTTTTGAACTTTCAGGAAAAACTTAAACCGTACAACAGGTGTATTCTTTATTCATCTCTGAATACCCACTATCATGAAATCCAAGGTAAAAATGGTTTCTTACCGAAATGTATGAACGGTTTTTCCACACAGTTGAAACATTGAGGGAATTTTTATGGGTTTATGGATTATATATGTCAAAACAATAGAAAGAGTTAATTTAACATTATATTTTAGGTAATATTACAAAGCGTAAGTGAAACTGCTGTGATACACTTTTTCATCCATATCCATTTTTTAATATTACACACATCATTCTTGTTGTAAATCATGCTCCTTGAGTGATACTCTAGTTTATCAAGGAATATCTTGAAAAATCACTTTCAACATCAGTTTACAATGTTTTAAATCACTTGCTTGATAGTCTAAAATGTAATAAATAGATACTTAAAATTATCAGGGAACAAACTGGGATATTAATATTATTGAAGAATCATGACTACTTTAACTTTGAATAAAACCCACAACGAATTTCATATCAATAAATAATACCTTTGAGATTCTCGACAAGTGCCTTATTACATAGGAACTTTAGTCTAAATTTGAACGGATATTTTCAGTATTTATGTTTCGAGTTAGTCAGACATTAAGGAACAAAAATGTATTTGTAAAACCTCAGAGATTGAATTTTAAGTATGTTCAGCGTTTTGCTCGTCAGTCTGGTTCAAGATTTTTCGAGAAAATGTAAATAAACATCAAAATTGTCGAATATAACTGAGTACACGTTTGTCCGGTTAACTGTATACTAAATGGGTCGTCCACTCATGTTAGCAATGTTTGAAGCAAGTATTTTCTGTAGTATGTTTGAAACATGTGGTGTGTAACGAAATGTGTGTTAAGATAACAGATTGTGTGTATTCGTAAGTGGATCTGAGGTGTGAGAAGAAATTTCATTGACTATTTACCGCCTCTGACTGGTGGATTTTTGAAGAAAACATACAATTATTATGTGTAATAAGAGCCAGATACATTACAGCACGCATAGAATAAAGATAAATAGATAAAATAAAAATAAATGAATGGATTCAATTTTGTATTGGTTGTTGAATCTTCTCATTGATGTTTAGCTCTGTAATTAATCAGTCTGATGTTGGCATATTTGCATCCTGTGTGGATTGCTTCAATTTCATCTTAAGTCGCAAGCGTTATAAGCAGAGATGATGTTTGTGTTATTTGTTGTTCAAGGTGATTGTTCACCATATATTAAGATAAACCAACTGATTAGAATAGTTTCATGTAATTGTTATTGTTCAGACAATAAGTGATAGAATAAATGGGATAAAGAGTTCAGGTTTACTCAATAATTATTAGTTTTCATGAGACAGCTAATTGTATTCTGTGTCACGCATACAATCTGTTTGGATTTATCCCTTTGGCTATTAGTCTCTATTTGTGAGAACTAAAATTTTTCGTGGAATTCTTGTGCTATTGAAACCGATTGTATGGTCCGACTATGTTGAGTGTAATGTCATCAGTGATCTGCTTTCGAACTTTTTCATATCATCTGATAATTTATAAATGTGCTTTAAGCAAAGTTTGTGTTCTTTCACACTCGTATTCAGTTGTCGTGTTGTTTCACCCACATGTATAGCATTAAAATCACTACATTACACGAGTTTGTTGTTCCTCCTTTTGCATTGAATATTTGATTCTTACCAGTTTGGGTACTAGAGTATTATTTGTCCGAAAGAACACTTTTATATTTTGGAGATTTAGGATACTTCTAATCTCTTCTGAAATTCCTTTACGATATGGGACCACTACTGTGTTAATCCATCCTTTTAGTTTATCTTTTACCTTATCGTTTAGGCCTTCTTTCTTAATTATTCTTTTCATAAAATCCCTCGGATAGTTATTCATCATCAAAGTAGATATAATTAAATTCATTTCAGTTTCTATATTATCTATTCAGTTATGAGTTTCTGGACGCTGTTTATCACATTCTTGGCCTCTGTTACTTTGGTGGAATGTGCATGTGTTGACATGTAATCGAGAAATTTCCCAGAATATGTTTGCTTTCGGAATACATTAATTTTTTGAAAAATCACTACAATTCCTTTCAACCAAACAGTCAAGAAGAGGTAACTTGTGTTCAATGGATTTGATCCCCCTAGTGAATCTGATGACGTTTTTAAACATTTCGTTTTATGATGACAAATGTATCATCTACGTAATTCAACCAGAGCTTTAGTGGAAGGGAACACTTAGAAACTGTAATTGTTTGCAATAAATGCATGAGCAACAATTGGAGAAACTAGTGATTCCATAACCACACCCATTTGTCTGTAAAATTCTCCTCGAAAACTGAGAAAGTTTTAATGCAAGCATAGATCCATAGCTTTGGTAATGTATAAAGGACCTAATGAACATCTCTTTTTTAGCTGTGTCAGGATCCAAGAGATTATACACAGTATCTAAAGCCTTCCTAAAAGGAACATTAGTGAACAAAGAGAAAACATCAGAACTTGCTATTAACTCATCTTCTTCCATATGGATAGTAGTGATGATGTCATTTGATTCACAAGAACTATTTATTCCAAATTTGTATCATATAAATTATTTGAATTATTAAAATGAAGAATTCTCCATATATACTTGGCTTCTGGGCAAAAAGATGGAGCTCAAACCCTGGTTACAATCAATCTGTGCTTATTTCAGTATGTGAATCTATCTATTTTACAAATTATTTCAAAATATATCTCAATCATCCGTTATATTTCTGTTCTGAAAGTTTACAGTAAGCTCTTTTTATTACTAAATTGCATTAATTTGCATTTATATTAAAAAATTATCATGTTATTTTAACAGTTAAGAAGGTTCAGGTCCACAAATGTGACCGTTTAAAAATAATATAAATGTCAATTAGAATTAAAATGGACCATTTCTGACTTTATACTTTGCCTAAATATTTATAGTTTTGAGTTGATTTACCACTAAATCAGACTCGCTCGAACAGCAGTAATGATAAATACAAGAGTGTCTCTATTACTATTCAACACTTTATTTATAAACGAAATAATCTCTAAAATAAAATATTTCGAAAATATTCGTTTAAGGTACAATACTGAGTATGTAATCTGTTAATTACTACTCCATCAAATCTAATAAAATCCACAACATAATGTAGACTCATTGTATGAAGTTGAAATATCTCTACAATCCTATTTCAACATAACGATAGATAAACTGATGACATAAGACTTGCATTTAATTCTCGTTACGATCCGATATTTAATAAGCAAAATATTTTGAAACAGTACCGAGAAGTTTACTAAAAAATAAATCACATTTAACTGTCAGAGGTGTTTGTAAATTTATGATATATTTGATGGTTAGAAGAGTATATAGTAGTATTAATTTCTTTTACATTCGAATTTGCCTATCAATTCAACTTTTCATAAAAGAAAGTTATTTATAAAAGTAAGTTTATGTTCAAAGTGTTTTCTGAATTTTGATTCTTTAATTGTTTAAACAAACAGAGAAAGAATTATCAGGTGAGCACTTAGTAATTGTCAATTACGTACTTTATGTTTGGATGATAAAATGTCTTAAAGGGAATAGATAACATTATTTTGTTGCAATTTGGGTCCTGCATAGCATCCAAGGAAGCGTATGATTCTCATCCTTTCCCACAAATACAATCAAACAAGATCGTTGAGTTGGATATGGTCCTGATCACCAGTATTGTAAGTATGAGTTACGCACGATACCTAAAATGGTAGGACCACTAAGCTATACAATCCTCTGAGTTATCCGACAAAACCTATACAATCAAAACTGAAATACATCAAGTAGATAACCCGTTATAAATCAAAGTTAGTTGCTTGTCAAAGAAGATTTGAGTCTCCACCAAACAAGAAACACAATGCTGTTGGCTAGCAACCAGGTATTTCGATCTCTTAACCTCAGATAGTCAACTAGTAGCACAAACATTGTGCAGTGATGCTATGAAGCCTCAAGTTGCTAAGTCACTGGAAAATATGAACTATTCAAGTGTCAAGAGGTGAGTGGCAGTTCGTAACAGGGAGAATCACTCCCTTCTGCATAAGAGGAGAAGTATGCGAGAAGGATTTACGTTACTGAGTACCGATGAGATAAATTCTCAATTTCGGAAAACTCGGATTACTTGTGCTTTGAGGCTCCATATGTCTAGAAATTGTTATAGAATGAAGCTTATTAAGGGTTCTATAGAGTACTCTAATCCTTTTTATTCCTACATAAATCAATAAACTGATAGAAGAGACAACACCTCAGCTTTATGAGGAGACAGTAGTACTGCATCATTAGTGGAAGACGATTATTGTAAAGCACAGTTATTTTCCAATTACGTTAGCAATGTGAGCACTGTGGTGGTGCCCTCCCTTTCTGTTCATCTAAACACTCCATGCTCACTTCGAACACTGTGACTTGTGAAGAACACGATGTCTCTGGTCTGTTAAATAAGCTTGATGTTGGTAAATCCATGGCAACCGATAAAATGCATTTTCGATTATTAAAGTATAAAGAAAGATAGATGTTGATACCTACACAAGAGGTACAGTTGGAGGGATTTTCACAAACAATTAGATACAGACGCAAAAGTCATGCAAAATGAATCCTGCAAACACAGTTATTTTCTTGGTTTTCGAATAGCTTCTTTGTTTATTGAGGTACAGTTTTCGGTTAATTCTAAAGGATTTGTAGAGTCCCTGAAATTAAACTAGTAAAGCATGTAATTTGTATACAATACATACAGAATATTTGAGAAATAAAATTTATATTATAAACATATTGGTACAATTTAGATGTGAATGAAAGAGGTAAGTTAAATTATTTCACTAAATTAGAATTCTGTCGGTCTTCACCATTATTTGTGTGTTAAGATTGTCTCTAGTCAATTTCATCAGACTTGTTGTAAATAAACAACTCTCCAGTTATATTTCACTGTATTTAGAAGTAAAACCCAATGTTAGTTGTTTAGAGTAAATAGTCTAAAGTTAGTCCAGCGTACAAAGTCATTGTGCAACGTAGACAATGGGTGCTTTGATTATAGCTATAAATGCTGACTTTTGTACATCTGGCTCAGCTATGTCAACAAGATCCGGTTTTGCGAATTAAGAGCCACTATTTTGACGTATAAACAAGTCAGATAAGAAAGTGAATAATAATGCTATTTAAAACCGAGTCTGACTCGGAAAGTAAGGTGCGCACTTAACATGTCATTAAACAGAAATGGAAGGTTTTTCAGTTTAAGTAATCGGAACCACAATATTTTGTTGATGGCTGCCTTGAAGTCGTTCATCAACTTTCAGTAAAGAAAAATAATTTATTGATCATCCTAAGTTTTACTGTTTGGGGGTTTTGTCAGGATGATCCTCGGAAAAACAGAGTGTTGTTTGGATTACGCACAGTGGATCAGTGATACGTAATTCATTTGAAGATAAACAGACTGATCAAACTTCAGATACCTTAGATTTATAACCGAAGACAAAATGTACTAGAAAAAGTAGTTTCATGAAGAACCGCACAACCGTAATGTTGTTCGTTAACTGAAGGTAACCTTCAGAAGAACAAATATCTGTTTGAATAGTCTTTTTAATACAGTTTATTGAGTGGTCGCCAAAGATTGATTTAATAGTGATATTTGGTGCTAAATGTATTTGCAAGCAATTCGAATGATATTATTGTTACGAACTTCCCTTCATCCTTGAATTTAGGATGTTTTGTTATTGATGAACTCAGAAAGCGCCTGAACAGTTCGGTGCCAAGCTTGAATTTCAATCTAAATTTGTTAAGTTGAAAAGTTTAACTGTATTCTTCTTTGTGACCAGTCACTTTGTATTGACGACAGCGACATTTTCTGTATGAATAGAATGTAATAAATAATCACCATCTTATAATACTAGAATGACTATAATAACCTCGTATTATGACAAAATAGGGTCTGATGGTAGAAATCAAAATGCTACTTATCATCTGATAAGTTAGAGAACGTTGAACCAGACTAGTAGGGGTAATGAAATAGTTTACGATGATGACTTTGACCATTTTTGACATACAAAGTTGAGTTGATATTCAAGGAATTAATCGATTTTTTTCATTTCTTGAAATAAAAAGACAAAAGACTTAAAGGTCAGCGATAATAATTTTCATTTTATGTATTTTGAGGGCTAATAAGTTAACCATGAGTTGATAGCATATAAGCTTCAACAAAAGATAATTACTTAAATACAATCTATAGAACTACAAACGTGCGTATCAACGAATCATTTACATGAAAAAAGTGGTAAGGAAAATATTTTCGCAGGTCAATAACTAATCGATAACTTAAGGCTCTAATTAAGAGGTATATCTTTGACCACCGATCCCGGAATGCCATGCAAATACTTGTAGACAGTCAACAGTTGAAGTTTTCTATGTTCTCTTTTATTTTCTTGTGCCACATGTGTTTTTGTCCCTGGGCTAAAAGTACACTAACGAAACGAAATTCGTGAAAACTTTCTAGTATTGATATCAGTTCTAGGTATTTCGACGGCGAATTTCAAGTATCTTGATTATTATTTAACATATATTGTGAACTTGATTGAATTATGATTTCGAATCCCATATTAATAATTTTGAGAATCGTAAGAAGAATTTTATTTTACACGAACTATTCTAAGCTAAACTAAAACTTTTAGTCAGGTATATTGCATTGTATTTTATAGCAATTGTTACATCAAAACGTTTTAATAACATTTAATGCTTTATATTAAACGTCTTATGTTGCTGAAGTGAATGGCTGAATTATTTATTTAGTGAAAGGTCACAAACAAGAATGATGAATTCTGTGACACAATAATTTGTATATATATTCCTGTTCAAAGTAAAATGTACAAAATATTAATTGCGATCCTAGATTAGTATGAGTGTCCATTTTTAAAAGTTACACATTTCAAACTAATATTTGAGTTAGAAGGGGTTTTGTAGAGATTTTTAGAAATTACAATAGTTGAAATCATGAGCCAGTTGAAGCTAGACCACCATGGAAAACCTGGAAGCACTGGACGGTTGTTTCGTCCCAGTATGGGACTCCTCGGCAGTGCGCATCCACGATCTCGCCCCCTTCGAGATTCGAACCCAGGACCCATCAGTCTCGCGCGCGGGTGCTTATTCATTAGACCACTGAGCTGGCCGGCATCCAACGGTGTTAATTTCTAACTTCAACTAATCCACGAAACTGCGCCACCGTACACCATTATTTTCAGTGAGCTGATATCTCACTACAGACTTTGGTCGAACTCCACTGGTAACGGCCTCTTACTAGAACTCCAGGAGTATCTCTTAAAGTCAGTCACTAGTGATTATTGTCAGAAAATGATGAGTTCTGTGACATAATGACTTGTATATATATTCCTGTTCAAAGTAAAACGTACAAAATATTAATTGGAATCCTAGATTAGTATGAGTGTCCATTTTCAAAAGTTACACATTTCAAACTAATATTTGAGTCATTAAAACTTATCAGACTTTATTAATATGTGATGTTTTATTATTGTTTCAACTTCATAAATTAAATTTCATAAACTTGGTGATTTAAAATATCCAAAGTCACTTTAAAAAAATCTAACATTTTTCTTGTAAATTTTAAATCTAAATAGTTATGTTTAGTAACTGTGAGTAACAGTTCGTTTTTAACCGTTTTTCTAAAAAAAATTTACAAACTGGACATGCGTAACTTGGTAATGTATTGCAACTTCCGTTACATTATGTTAATAATTATGAAATGTCTATACATTTAATGTAGTGCAGCAACAAGTTTCATTTCTGAAGGAAGGTTATGACACAAAAGCATCATGGATTCTATCATCTGACTGATTTAATATTTCATTTCGTCAAGTCTTATAAATCGAGTTGATCAATTTTTTTCATAGTCAACTTTGTATAAATAAATACTTCTTCCATCCTAATAATAGTGGAGATAAATTTCATAGTATCTGTACAGCTAACCATTTCTTATTACTAATCAAAGTTTAAAAACTTAATATTTTCGAAATTTTATTTACTTCCAATGATCAATTCATAAATAAAATACTAACCAGCTGATGAAATTCTAAATTAACTGTGACAAATACTACTTACAAATGAAATAATTTATTTATTTATTTTAACACATAAATATTGATACAAGGAGGCACCAAATACATATGCGCCACACAAATCTCATTCGATATGTGTGAGGGCTGTGATGCTGCCCGGGTACCTAGGCCGAAGCAGGTGGTTTTCTCAGGGGTCCACACCCGGAGCCTTTGACCTGAAGGTCTGATCCACAAGGCAGTGGAGCAACGTAAGGAGAAGCAGTCCCATGGTAGCCGGTGACCAACGATTGGTCCATACACCATTTGTTCCATCAGGATAGTGGAGTCCATGTGCACCATTGGTTTGGAATCAGGGTTTTCCAACTCCCCTAAGTGGACTCTCCATCAAACCGGTTAAGGCGCCGGACGTTCATTTTTCGTCCTCTCATTTTCGTAAACAACATCCCCGCCACGAGAATGCAGTGAGTAGGACTTCCCTGGCAGAGGCTATATACGCGTGGCCATGTGAGAGCATTTCGAGAGGGAGAGCAGACTCTCCCCACTCTCGGTCGTGCCAAGGCATTTTGGGGAACAAATAAATTAGGTAATCATAAGCTGATGTGATAGGTTTTTAATTTGCATAACAAACTGTTATGGAACCCTAATACTAGTGTTCATATATTGGAATGAATGTGAAAGATGACGTAAAAGTTATTCCTCTAGAATACTAAAGATTATACAGTATTTTAAGAAGTTTAAATTATTGTTATTTATTTGACAGTTCAAGAAAGTAAACATCATAACGGTAAGTAAGTTTGTTCATATTTCTTTTGATCTCTTTATTGAATGAAGTGTAAATGTTATTTTGAATAATAAATTTTATCCTTGAAAAATCACATTCATGACAGATTTACGTATAAATGTTATTTTAGTAAGAAGCGGTTAAACTTATGTACTGAAGTTTACATTTGTATTACTGATTTCACGGATAAGTTTTTTATTTAAGATATTAGCAAAGGATGTAATGACAGGAATCAAAAAGTGATTTTGATAGTTTAAATATCCCTATTTTCAAGAGTTTACTCACGAATCATAAAATGTGAAAACTTTTAAGATCATCAGAAATATATAATAACAATACTACAGAGCCAACGTTTTATCTTAGTTATCACTCTTATTTTGAATTTTGAAGTAAACTTTTTATTGTCGAAGATATTTACCCCTTTCTAGAGGTTAAGCGTTCGTGCGCGAGACCGATAGGTCTTGGATTCGAATCCCGCGGGCGGGATCGTGGATGCACACTACTGAAGAGTCTAATACTAGGACGAAACGGTCGTCCAGTGCTTCCAGGTTTCAATGGTGGTTTATCTTTGATACTAATGTATTAAATGAAATACACGCATTCATAAGCAGAACAAGTAATTCAGTCAAAGAAATCTGTTCTAAAAATTCAATTTTAAAGCATTACACTATATAAACATAAATTTATTAATATGAAGAAAATTCACATGTCGGTTATAATTAGGTGCTTGAATACATAACAATGTTAGCTAATCTCATAAACAAGTAAATGTTTGCGCATAGTATTAATTAAACATCATATTTACTATTAATATGAAATAAATTGAACAACTGTAAATATTTATTAACTAATTATGATCAGAAGCATATAGACGAAATTTGAGATCGAAAGAAAAATAATACACATGAGTTTACCAAGTTGATTTAAAATGATAAAAGATTAAGCTCTCGAAAGTTTGTGTTTTCTTGCTTGTCTGTTTGTAGTTTAGTTAAAGTTTGTAGTTGATATGAGGTAGTGAGTCTTAGGTGAAATTATCTTCATTTTTAAAAGATTAATTTCCCGTCTTTCTAATATGATGACTGAGAGAAGCTTGAGAATGAAGTAAAGCGTGAATGCTCTCAAGAAGCATATTATCTTGCATAAGCAAAAACTAACTTTTTCAAGATTGGTAATAAATAAGTGACTGACAAAGTAGAACTAGCGTCCTTTTAAACTATATTTGAATAAGAACAAAGCAAATACTTACAGAAAAACTATAAATCACAAGCAGCGAAAAACGAATTGTATTTTGTCGTTACCATTGCCACGTTAGCATTAAATGCACTAAATCACTTGATTAATAATACTCTATACCCCTAGATCGTGTGATAAACGAACTACCATTCATTCAATCCGAATTTAATTATTAATAATTTAAATTCCAGTTTACGTGTTGCGAATGTTCCTATCAAAATCTATTGAAGTTAATCGTGAAGTTATGAATTTCTTTTAGGAACAATTCAAGCAAAAGATTTTTTGACAGTTGTGAACCAATCTTTTAGAATGGGAATACTGAAAGAAGACTAAATTTTGACATAAGAGAGAAAAAGAAAAAAAAGACTTAACATTTCTCTTAGTATTGTTAATTAAATCAAGAATTAAATTTCACATTTCCTTTCAGATGAATTTCAGCCAAACGTAAACAGGTAAACATTGACTATTTAAACTTTTTCGTCGTTCAAGAAAACTACATATAGACTTCTATGTTGATATAGTAAAATGATCCATAGTAAACAATCTATTTAATAACAGTATCACTTACATAGCCTTTATTAGTTATAGGACATTTAATATAGATTTTTATAACAAGGGACTAACCATCTGCATGAGTTCGTTAGTTCTAAGTGATATATGGCGTAGTTTTTAACGTAAATAACTGACATTTCAGGATGGTGAAACCTTGGGTTGTTAGCAGTAATAACTTGAGTAATATAAGTTTACACTGAACCACTAACTTTTCATTGGAAATTATGCAACAAAACATGTTGAAATGACTACAGCACTTCTTTCTGTACTAAATTATATTCTCTATAAACCTTATCAATATAAATTGTAGTGAGAATTACCATAGCACGATTTAAAAGACTTATTGTGGAATAAAATTGATAGTTAAATTGATGAAACTTTTGAAATCCAGTTGCGTTTTATCTTGAGCGAATTCTGTCAAGAAATACAGATGATTGTCAAGTAATTGTTTTTTCGCATAAGTAAATAATCAAGCTTTTAAAATGTCTCAGCTTCAAAAAGTTGTTAGAAAGCCAACTACATAGTAATTTGAAGTATAATTCTTTGGTTTTACAGTTTACTTTTGGATCTAGGATGTCCCAACATGAAATCCAGAACGAAGTACTGTGCTCAGGATCGGAAAGTGCGTTTAAAACAATATCAGCTTACGTTGTTCAAAAATGGTCGGACATTAAGTCCGGAGAATATATTCACTGTAATCAGACTATTATAATTAGCCATAGTTCAGTGTTGGTGATTTAAATTAGTCAAAACATTCAGTTACACATCCCGATAAATTGTGATCCCAATTGTGTTTGACACTTATGCTCCGATCAGATTTTGAAAAAGACCTAGAGGTACATGCCTAATATTTCTTGTTAACGGATTGATAATTTTCAGGTTATTGATAAATACGAGAAACGATTGTCTATTAAGCTTGCACGTTTTTAATTTGTAGCACAATAATAAGTAGAATATGGTATGTTAAATTATGCTTTGTAACCACTTTTTATGCACTAACGAGAGTTGTTCCAACAAAATTTTACAATGATAATAATTTTCCAGTAGACTTGTAGTGAATGAGAACTCCGATGGTTAAAAACAATTTACTGTTCAAGCCCTAACTAAAGAGTGTTTTAGTTAAATATGAAAATCATACATTAAATAAATTATTTGCACATCTTTCTTCAGTTATCCTTTACATGCTTCACGATTCTTTTAATTCTGTTTTCATTACAATTGTTCTCTGTTTCCCTTTCTATTCTCTACAATTCAGTTCGCTGCTAACAGACATTCCATATTCGATTGCTACTACATACTACTTATACCTGTCGACATAAGTAGCATACATCACAGACTTGGTTTTATTTATCTACCTGGATTCATGTTTATAATATCGTAATTGAATAAACCCTTGAAAACTGCATAGTTTAAGTTAAAATTATTTCAAGCCTTTTCAAAGGTAATCTTATACGTAGAATTGGTGTGTAGCTATGATTACAAAATAGTTAATACTCTTATTTTTCTACTTTATTTTTCACCATGCGTCATAAATAGTAAAAATTATCTGTAGAAACAAATAAATCCAACATTGCATGTTCTTAAATAGAGCTCTATTTGAATTCATTAAGGGAACTAATTGCATGAAATTGCATGTTCTAGTGAAATTAAGTCCTGTTTGGACCTGTATCAGATCACCTTGATTCAGAATAGGGCATCTCTTCACAGTGGTAATTAAATGACTGCTTAATTTACACCATTAAGCTCTCAGTGTCAGTTGAAGTTTGTGAGTGCTACACAAACATCTTTAAGGTACTAACTAACTTACGCCTGTCACTTCTCGTGAAGGAGCATGTGCCACTCACCAAAATTCTACATCCAACTCTGTCCTAGTCAATCCTTTCCAGCTCTTTAGAGTTTCATATTCATTCTTTTAGTGTTTGCTTCCGATTCCCGGCACAACGTGTTTTTTGGTCTTCCTCTTTTCCTTTTTCCTTCAGGATTCCAAGTTAGAGGTTGGCTAGCGATGTAGTCTGATGATTTAGGCAATATCTATCCTATCCACCTCTAGCGTCTTTTTCTAATTTCCTCTTCAGCTGGAAGCTGGTTTGTCCGTTTCCATGGTGGGTTGTTGCTGACCAACGGTCAGTGAATATCTTGCATAGACAATTGTTTATAAATACCTGTACCATTTTGATGATGGTTGTGGCAGTAATTCAAGTTTCAGCTCTGTACAGTAGAAGTGCTTTGACGTTCGTATTGAAGATTCTGACTTTGATGTTGGCTGACAGTTGCTTTGAGTCCCATATGTTCTTTAGTTGCAGGAATATCGCTCTTGGTTTGTGGCTCCTTGCCTTCACATTTGCATCAGGTCTTCCCTATTCATCGATGATGCTGCCTAGATACTTTTAAGGTGGTGATCATGAAAAGAAAATTAAATTTAGTAATTTTTATTCATCCATCTGATTTCAATCAAAACTTAATACCTAAATACTATAGAACATATAGTTCGCAAACCTATGTCCATATATTTTATGATTTATACTTCAAAATAATGGTAAACGTCCCTCTCCAACATAATAATCAATGTATCTAAATCAAACAACAGGGCTTCAAGTTTATCTTTATGATATAAAACAAGTAGATTTAATCTGAATGAAATTCACACAGCTGAAAACTTATGTAATTTGCTCAATTGACAAGATCATTTAAAAAGGATTACAAAGTAATCTGTTATTTCCATTAGTATTCATATTATTCTTATTCAAACTTCAATTTATGTGTTAATATTTTTGTTCAAATAGTATCTACCAACTAGAGTACTTATGATCAAATGTACAATTAACAGTGAAACTTTAGATTTTTCCGTAATTATCAATTTGTGTGTTCTACTCAAGAAGTTTGTAAACAAAGGATAACATCAATGATTTAAAAGAAATAATTCACGTTAAAATGTAAAATTCATAAGATTGCAAGTCAGAGAAGTCTATGATTGAATCATTATTTATAAACTACTAACTATATATTTTAATCATTGAATTACATCATCACTCGTGAACTAAAAGTAATATAGATTGAGCGTATCTAATTCTATCGACCAAGATGTAGTGTAGTTAACGGTCTAAGTAACTTAGAGTAGTATGCTCTGTTTTTTTATGTAAAGTAATTGCAGAATACTGACTGTGAATTTTTTTGTTTCACCTTAACTTTCAACATATTTTCAGTTGTTCATATATCTTTCGTTTGTTATAGGGAACTATTCAATCACTGTTTTCTAACTTTTGATAATTTGGCTAAACTTATTCAAAATGATCATGCATTAAAATAAAAGTGAATAATATTAAGTGAACTTACTGACATACCGTGAAGGCCAGTTTTATAAGTTATTTTTTTATAGAAAAAACTTTTTTTGTTGATGTTCAAATATTCATACAAAGATCATCAGTGAATTCAGCCAACGTCATAGGGTTCAACTAGTCTCTGTATTTTCTTTTGTAACTACAGATTCTATCCCTCCGAAAAGTGCGATTGAAAAATAACTACATTAAACTGACGGGTGTTGCAAACAAGATAATGAAAAACTTCGTAAATAAGGGCGAAACTCAGAAAATCTCTTGTATTACAAACGACGATATACAGTGGTCAATGCCAGGTGTGGCTAAGTTTCAGACATTGTTCAGTGTTTGAGAGGACTATGATAACGATGATATTTGTTATCGCTGCTTATTTTGTGGTTCCGTGTTGATCACCATTTGAGCATCGTGTAATGGACCTTTGTGTTTAAAACATATTCATAAGACTTAACTCTCATTTCATGGAAAGGTTAAGTGACAGGATTTTGTTAGCCTGAAAATCTTATTATAAGCTGGATTTTACTTCATGAGACACGGCCCATCAGTAAATACATCGAAAAGGAATGTTTTGTGTAATTTTTCTGAAGTAATTATTGGACAATATACTTTCAAACTTTGCTGGAGCAAACATTTTGCTCTTTAAGATCAGTATTTTGTTTGTAGAATAAGGGTGAAGAGATCTCAAGTATGGAAGCATTTGATAATGAGGCTGTTCAAGACTTTTATTACGTAGTCTCAAGTCCGATAGGAAAAATGTTCAGGGTGAGTGAGTAAGTGGGAAGTTAAGTTTTAACTGTAGGCTTATGTATCATGAACCGTAATATCGGAATTAGCTAGTTGATAGGGGAGGTGTGATGCATGGCATAATAAGTTCTGATATGGTGAGAATGCTTGACTGGGCCGCTTCAGCTAATCTTGTGTCCAATAAAACCATTATGATCACTATTAATGTTAATGACTTACGAAGCTAACTATTTCAGGGATTTATTTACTGTTACATGTATCTTAGGTTAAAGTAGGTGTAATTGTTCTTTTAATCCCTGAAGATCCTGGAAAATTAAAACGTCTACGTAAAGTAAAGCATTACTGTAGGGTAGTAAACGGTGCTCATGTATGTAACTATGAATACAAACCGTGAAAAATAACTATATGAATACAGTCACTGGGCTGAAAAGCCAGAAGTTGTTGTAGAACCAAATCTGTCAAAATAAAAGTGCAGGTTAACAATCAAATAATTCAATCTTCCAAAGTCAGATTGACAACAATTTGCACTGAAGATGGCACAGGTATTCAGTGTTTGACAACGCTTTTACCAGTAACACCTTCTAATATAACTCGTACCCACCAAGAGAAATCAAAAGACAGAATCGAGGAGATCAGAAGTTGTATTTGACGATTGCCAATATATCGGAATTGTCTGATCTAGTCTGGCTAGCGATTGCAGTAGATGTTGAGCACGGCGTTCCCACACGTGATCTGGTGCGGATGCATGACCGAGCGCCTTCAGCTAGGTGAGTCCACTAAAACTAATGTGATCAGCATCAAATGTTGAAAACTTACAAAGTTATTTATTTTGGGGATTTATTTATCGATACAGCACAAGTCTTTTACAACACAGCTACGATAAATCCTCTAATTAGACGCTTAAAAAAAATACAAACTAGTTACTTGACGAGATAAGATATCTTCAACAGACTGGGAGTATAATTTTACCGATTTACTTATCTAGAGTAGTGAGTAAAGCAGAATTAAAATGGCTAATCAAACTCAAGAAACGAGAACGATACATGAGGAAAGCGAAATCGCATGTAAAATAGATATTAACAATTTTACCTAGAACCAAAATGTAGGTAGAATGCACGAATTAAGGTATCAAGAATCACGACTATCAATGAAGCTGAAGTATTAACACTAATCGTCTTGTTGAGTCGTACCAACATTGTATCTTTTGGGGTCAACATCTCAAGTATTGTGTCTTTAATTGTAACTATTGTCCCTTCCAGTGCTTTTACAGTCCGTAGTTGGAGTTCAGAGTTAGTGAAAATTGCCAGTGGAAGCATAAACGATTCTTATTCTTATTAATGTTACATTGGGCAAACGTAAATAATAGTGTAACGAAAAAGCACTTTTACTGTACCGGTGACTGGAACTTGTTATAGTTACATAAATTTGCTTCTGTGACACTAGTTTGTTCACTCTGGTTCGGGTATACGTGATACCTTGCATTTTGTTCTCACTTTGAATGTGAAAACTCCAACATCAAAAAAGACTTTATTTAGGGTGATACGAAAGCTTTTTGTTTCATAAGACGTACACATGAAGGAAGCTTTACAAGCAAACACAGATGCGAATATATACATACACATGTGCATGCATACATACGTAAAGGACATTACGAGTTGTCTCTCATTTTTAGCGGCTCAGATGCTACAATACTCCGAGCACTGTGAAATAGGTCGGGCCATAGTCATTAAAGTACAGAAGATTTTCATTGTTTTCCATGAATTTGATCAAAAAGACTAATAGCTTATTCTCTCAAACTTAGTTGCAAGGTACATTTGTTGAGTAATACTTGATAAAATGATCAAATGCCTGATACCGTGGAAGTCTCTATCTGTTTTTGGGCCGTAACCGTACTCTTCAAGTCTAGAATAGGTTTTTCTTAGCAAGAAACATTGACAGGCGAAGTACTATTTCGCATGTGCCCCAACCAGGCTGCTAAGATTCAAGTGTAGACAAGCGTGGGACCATAACGGCTGGGGATAAACTCCACGTTGTCAAGTCACTTAAGTGTATCGTAGTCAGTAGTTGCGGTTGTGTTTTCATTTGTTTAATCGCTCAGTTGTAGATATTTTGTAATAGTTTCCATTACAGAATTAATTGGAGGTATAACCTTTGCGATGTTGTGATTTTTCTTCCATCATAACTTAGTGCTCTACATTGACACGTCCGTAACATGATGATTTGGTATTTTCGTTGTAGCAAATTTTACATTTTCCGTCCAAACTAGAAAAAATATTAGAGATTGAAAAATGTCATGAATCATGGATTACGACAGTGTAAATAATAATTCCCGCTTCATTTTGGTTGTTTGTCAGGTGCAAGGTAGAAATTGAGAATAAGAGTGGAGTTTGGCTTCATCCATCATAACCATATTACTCAGTCGAAATTCTACCATTAAGTTTCCCAGTGGTAAATAACCCACTAAAATAAATGGCTTGGATGGAACTTGGTTATGTATCTTGACTATCAGCCACTATGATGCACGTTATATTTTTCTTTTGCTGATCAGATATATTGGCCTGTTCTACATTTACTATCTTCAATATCTGTATTCCGCTTAAGTCAATTGATGGATATTGTTATCAATAGTACCTGGTATTCTGACATCTCCTTTGCGGAGAAAAGGATTTTAATAATTAGTTACGCTCATTATGGTATGGGTCTTAGTTAAGCGAAAACGTGATAGTATCTGAACTTGTACGATCAAACCTACGCAGATAAATTGCTAAAGGACAACAAATATACTAGTTTTTAAATGGGAAATTAGTGCTCACTATGCAAGGGGAGTGTGTTAGCAAGCAGATCACCAAAATAAAATGTTCAATAAGTCTTCTACCTTGATGATGACATCATTAGTTTTACTAGACATATCTCTGGATAAAGACACATATTCAAGTATCCAAAAATAGATGGAGCTGGGGTGGTCTATTTCGCACATCTCTTACAACCGATAATAAACTATGATCATATACTTCTCGACACACCATCTATCTTACGAATATTTCTTCGAACCCTGACATTCATGACTTCTGATTTGACTGGATCTGAGAACGTCGATTACAACTGCGTTACGGACAATGAAGTTATTAGGCATTACATATCCGTGACATCTTCCATGGTGAGCTTGGTCGTAGTCTGGTACGCTGAGAGATAAACTCCTGTCTGTTCCTTGTTATAAAACTACATATACATTTCACATACTGTGATGCTGCTTTTGTGTTCTCATGACCTCTTTTCTAACGTTCATAAGTTTTATCCTCTTTATGTCGAAGGAAACATTTGAAAATTCAAGGACTAAGTTTATTATGCCTTTCATCTCGCAGCTCATGCCATTACGGCATGACACTATCGAAGCCCTTTCTCTCATGAAGAAAGCTGACTTCCATGAGCTCGGTATGATCGATAAACTTGCTCAGTTACTCGTAGTAGTGAAGACATCACCCTGTGAGTTTCACGTTTAATAGTATGTCTATGGACTTTATGAAACTGTGTGAAAGGCCGTCCTTGGACATCGAGACCTAACCAACCGGTAAAAGTTAAGTCAGCGATCTTGGATAAACGAGTTCTGAGACAGTTCAGCAACTGAACTGTTGTTACGTATAAGAAAGATCGTTACTCAATAAAATTTTAAGTATCTCCTTTTGGAAAGCTTTTCTGCCTAAGTTTTTTTAAAAAGTGCAAGCTGTTCTCTTTCAATCTGGAATAATGCTAGAGGCAAGTTAGATCTATCTTACGATCGTATTCTCAGGATCACCAATATCCTTATCACCAAGGTCTGTTCTGTCAAAGAGAAGCCTCAGAGGACTCAAAACGAAATTACAGATTGTTGTAATAATCTCAATCTCGTAGCTAACCTTAAGTAAAATTAATGACTCATTTGTGTTTGATTGCCCACTGATTGCTTTCTAGTTCTATCTGCCTTAAAGTACACCGTTGTGGGAATTCCTAGTTACTACACTAAATCGATTACATGTAATCACCACAGGTCTATTTCTAAAGACGCATTTCTGGCAGCCAGTAAGTTAAGGGGTCTAGTAAAACAGACGAAATATGCCATATGACCAAGGTTACATGACATTTATTTTTCAACTTATCATTTAGAAATAATATGTCTCAGATTCTGTTTGCTAAGCATTGATGATTTTGATTTTTTATGTGTTTACTATTTCGGCATACCACTTTTAAATCATTG